TGGTTTTATTTAAAAGTCAATGTCTGTGTAAACACAAATCTTAAGGTTTTGACTACAAAAAAGCTATTGAACATTTCCACAATTATTGCTTAGGAAAAAAGGGTTACAGCGGCCTTTTAACATTTTCTGACTATATGGGGCATGTTGTCACATTTAAAATCTACTATTAAGCAGCCTTTCACAGGCTTTTCAGCTGAAATAAGCTGTAAAACAAGTATAATTGTAAAATAATTAGAATTATAGCTTGTGTTAACCTAAAATGTATCTTCAGGGCACAGTTTAACGTTTCAGTTTAAATCTATATGATTTAAATATGGTGGAATTTATTGGAATTTTAGTTGCATGCATTGAATCATTACAAAACAAAGCATTATTGTAACTTAAGGCAGATGTGAATTAGGTGTTTGGAACAAACAAAACCAGTGCTAGAGAAAATAATCATTAGATTTAATCATTTGGACCTTTGACTGGAAACTTTCCTGCGTGACAACTAGCCCCGGTCTCTCTTAATGCATAAATAATTCTTACAAGATTTGATCCAAATGCATTAAGTCTTGGGTTTCAAAAAGGAAAAGTCTTTGCACACTTTCAGGAAGCTACCCTAAAGTACAAAAGCTAAAAGGTACATCTTTGTACCATATTTACCCCTAAATTCAAAATATTAGTATACATTAAATTGTGCCTAAAGTGTACATATTAGTACATTTTGAGAGGATACTGCCCCAGTGACAGATTTGTACCTCTTTTCCTGAGAGTGTAGAGTTGCATGATCACTAGCTAGTGCACTAAACATGAGCTCATATGGCGAGCCAGAGCAGTGATGTCATTATTAGAGCTGTACGGCGTGCATGCAACTGCTTCTCGCCTCTATGCTACCCACCGTCTTGTCTCATGTTCACCACAAATGCAATTAAGATTACTTACTTAAGGGACACTTATAGCACCATAACATGTCTTCTTTAAAATCTTTAAAATACTGCAACCATCAGCTTGTTTTATCATTAATATGATACATTTGAACAGACATTCAATGTCCCGTACTGCTGTTTTAACACAAATTTAGAGAGTTCAATAAGTGTTTTCTTAGTCTAATATAATACATATTCAGATTTGTCTTTTTTTCCCCCTTGCAAAGCATGTACAAATTATTTCATGCATCGATTAAAAATGATAAAGAAAACTGTTTTAGCCAAATACATGTCTATTTTCCTCTTTGCATGAAAATTGCACACCTTGAAATGTGGATCATCATGTTAATATGCTCTAGAGCCTATATATATATATTAAAGGTAGGTGTAATTACAGTATACTGAAGTGTATCGGTTTTAATGGTGATTTAAGCTTAATCTATTTTAGTCCAGCAGCTCACGTCTAAGTGAGTTAATTAAGTGTAATTAATTGTTGTTTTATCTGCTGTAAACTTCACACGAATTAGTTTTGACCCCATTTCCATTTTCTATTCGAAATACAGACCCACAGTCAGCTAAAAGTGATGAATGAGGCTGATTTAAGCGGGGGAGATCTGGGACGAAATGCATCGATATTGATGCTCTGTTTTCCTGCTTTTCAGCACTATTAGCCTATATAAAACAATTAACTAATTAAATACAAAATAATAATAATAATTCATTTAAATACACCTTTAATTTTTTTATTAAGTTTTAATAATATATATACATTTTTACGTGTTTAGAAAGTTCATAGCAAAACTTTGCATGCAGCATTTGACTTTTACAGGATGACCTTGTAGAAAAACTTGATGTAACTTTTGTCAGTGCGATCATTCTGTGTGAAGCCCGACCCATGAGAGAGAGAGAGAGAGAGAGAGAGAGAGAGAGAGAGAGAGAGAGAGCATTGAAAACAGATCACTGGGGGTCTCACCGCAAACAGTCGCCCTCGCAAACTCTTCTGTTGTTTCTATTTCCCAAACTTCTCCGAGGATTCCGCAGACGAAAACTCCCTTCGTTCGCTCTCAGTGATGGACCGTAAAAGTTAGAAGAAGAACCCGAGAGTGTCCGCTGAACTTCCCGACCGGTCCCCGCCTCAGAGCCGCCGCTTTCCGCGCAGACCTTCGCTCGGGTTTTGATGGATGTTCGCGGGACGCGCTTCTGTTTTCTGGAGCCACAAAGTTGAAGAAAGAGTTTGATCGTGTTTGCGCGAGTTTGATTCACTCTTCAGAGCTGGTAAGTGCTTCATATGAACACGTTATAAATGCACATGCGTGTTTAACAAACAGTTAACGCTTTTAAAATTGTTACATTATTATTATTATTATTGTTTATGGACTCGTATGGAAAGAAAATCCCATCGGCTCTTTTGCATTTTTTTTTCTGGCACTCACAACTCTTACTTTAAGAGTTAATTTTAGGAGTTAAATTGCATTACAAATACGAGCTATAGAATCGAATAGAGTTGCTTTTCGACTCTTGTTTGACTCCTGACACTGGAATCCCAAACATTCTGCAATTTGATCCATATGGGGGAAGATGTGATCAGAAGGTGCCAGGCACCAGTCCTAAACACATCTACTCATCCAGGCGTGTTAGAAAGAGTCTGCATGCGTTATAGATTACTCATTAATGCGTGTGCATTTAATAGTTCATAGTCCAGTCTTCTTAGTGCATGTGCAATTTAATTTCCTTCCGAAGTTTTAAAGTTGAACTTTGTGGAGGGAAAATATGTGCATTGCACTAAAGTGTATTTTCTTTATTTTTTATTATTTTTTTGGCATTAAAATAAGCATGGTCGTTTTTTTATTGATACTAGCTTAAGTAAACAGTGTAATAGAGGCTAATGAATGCAAACAGAAGTTCAGAGAGCTGTTGAGAGTCCAGTTACCTGATGTTTGCTCTTCAGACTTTCTTTTTCTTTCTCTGTTTACCTCCTGAAATACAATCGATTTCTGTGATCTCTCTCGGCCGTTACGGCGCTTGTTGTGTGTTAAAAAATTCACTGAGACATAGAAGACGAGGAGCCATAACAGGCTCCAAAAAGCTCTAATTGGCCCATTTAAATCCTGTAGGAAAAAGCAAAAAGCATTCGGTGGGAGTGAGTTCACATCCATTAGCATGAGAAAACAGTTTTAGTGCATTTGCCATTGTGCGCAATAAAGAGTTCTAGCAGTCAGAATAAAGGATGTGAAAGAACGACGGGCCCATTCAGGATTATTCAGGTCCGGCCGAGCTGACGGTCACCGGGGCCCCGGGGGCCTCTTTCATCTCCCCCGGAGCCTTTTTCACACATCCCGCTCTCTCAGTGTCCGTCAAGCCCTTTCTCACTGGAGAAGAATTTAATGAAGCGAATGGTGCGAAAGCAGAGGAGCTGAAAATACCGGAGGCCTGAATGGAAACAGAGTAAAACTCCCCACCGAGACGCTTCAGAAGTTAAGACAAGAGCGAGAGAGAGTCGGCATTCAGCGCTCGACACGTCGCCACCAATTAACGCCAAATAAAGCTCAGCCGGTTCCAGGTGAACAAACCGTGGAAGAATCGCTTAAAGCTGTTTTTATTCCGTGCCAGATGTCTGGAGCCGTGCACATAGTTCCAGGCTATTTGTGGAGGAATTACAGGACAGTTTCCAAATTTAACATAATGATTTAGGGTAATTAAGAATTGGTTTAAAAAGGCCACTTTAGTGGATTTTCCTGTGCGAAGCATCTTCATTTTTCTCTCTGCACTAAAATATTTCATGCTTTTTCATGCATGTTTTAGAAAAAATGCTTCATTTTGGAATAGGATGCTTTTAGACCTCAGAAGTGACGCCCGGTTCAAAGTGATTGGAGTTTGATGACCATTAACGTCCCATTCTGAAGGGCTTTGCTCAGGATTGACTTAAGACTCTTTGAGACCGCAGGGAACTCTCCCCCCCCCCCCCCCCCCC